AAAAAAAAAAAAATTATACAGTTTATTAAGGATAATAACAATAATAGTGGCAAATGTATGGAATTGGTAGGTGTGCTAGGAAATGTGTAACAACCAACCCTGAAGAAGGGTATGGGGTGGAGCAGGGGTATGTGTGTGTACATATGTTTATTATAAATTTTACTAATAGAAAGAATGTGTTTCCATGGAATACTGCACAGCCATAAAAAGAACAAAATCGTGTCCTTTGCAGCAACATGGAGGCAGCTGGAGGCCACCATCCTAAGTGAATTAATACAGGAACAGGAAACTAAATACCACATGTTCTCAGTTATAAGTGAGAGCTAAACAATGAGTACTCACGGACATAAAGAAGCAACAGTAGACACTGGGGACCACCTGGAGGGGAGAAGAAGGGGAAAGGGGTGAAAAACTGTTGAGTGTCATGCTCAGTACCTGGCTGACAGAATCATTCATGTCCCAAATCTCAGCATCATGCAGTACACCAAGGTAACAAACCTGTACATTCACTGCCCTTGAATCTACAATAAAAGTTGAAATTATTTTTTAAAAAAAGAGGCCAAGTGCGGTGGCTCATGCCTATAATCCCAGCACTTTGAGAGGCCAAGGCAGGCAGATCACCTGAAGTCAGGAGTTCAAGACCAGCCTGGCCAACAAGGTGAAACCCTGTCTCTATTAAAAATACAAAAATTAGCCGGGCATGGTGGTAGACACCTGTAATCCCAGTGACTCAGCAGGCTGAGGCAGAAGAATTGCCTGAACCTGGGAGGCGGAGGTTGCAGAGAGCCAAGATTGCACCAGTGCACTCTAGCCTGGGCGACAAGAGCAAAACTCAGTTTCAAAAAACAAACAAAAAAAGAGTATGTTGCACACAACTTACAAATAATAATGAAATATACAGTACTCTTAATTGAATGCTTTTGTTGATTTTTGCCAAATTTGTAGCTAACCTACGGTTGCAACTTATAACCACAATTTGACAAATGGAGCTGCATCCCACTTTGCTCTTTTCTCAATAACTGTATTACCATTAAATCTGATACATGATCTGTTAAACTACTTCTCAACCTCATACAAACTATATTAAACTGAAGCCACTTTCAGCTTTAGTACTAAATGAAGCCCTGATTTATGTTTGCCAGTTACAAGGGTGTAAATACTCCCGTCATAGCCAATTTCAGTCTACCAGTGTGACGTCACTGAACAAAGGCAGGAGGAGATGCACAGTGGCACATCGTTATGTAATATTCCCACCATGCAGACATTCACAATCAATATAAATAACCCCAACAGCATAGATAATAGTAAGATATAGTCAAGTAATAGGAAGTTGGGAAATTTGAATATTCTTTAACCTTTGTTTTTATGTTAATTTATTCAATTGTTACTTGGTTTCTAATAAACAACTGGCTTTCAGCATTTCTGAGAATTTAACAGTCAGCTTTCATGGGCCAGTGCAAGCATGGGATAATCAGTAAAAGAGCTACCATATCAACTGAGCTGACATGTCACCAAGGGAGTGTTAAGTAATATTAAAATTTGTATCATCTATGGGACTTTTTTTTAACCCTATACAGTCAAATTCCTGGAAACAGAACTGTCACTTTTCGTTGTGTTTGGAGATCATTCTCCCTTTACTAGTTCCAGAACACTTCTTATACATCTGAGAGGAAAAAGGAAGTTAAACCCTTTACTCAGGAAATACACGGCCAGGTGCAGTGGCTCACACCTGTAATCCCAGCATGTCGGGAGACTGAGGCAGGAGAATCGCTTGAGGCCAGGAATTCAAGACCAGCCTGGGCAGCATAGCAAGACCCCATCTCTACCCCCCAAAAAAATTTTTTTTAATTAGCCAGGTGTGATGGTGCAAGCCTATAGTCCCAGCTAACCCGGAGGCTGAATAGCAAAGATTGCTTGAGCCTGGGAGATCAAGACTGCAGTGAGCCACGATCACACTACTGCACTCCAGCCTGGGTGACCGAACGAGACTCTGCCTCAAAAAAAGAAAAAAAAGAAAAAAAAAACAGGCCCTCAGTTTCCTCTTATTTTCTATGGCCTTTTTATAGGGAGGATGAAGATTGCTTCTTTAACTTAAATATGAAGAATATGTAATTTTTTTAAAAAATCTCATGTTAGATAAGTGAATTCTAGAGACATGAAAACTATACCTGATAGGACAAATGCTCATCATGGAAGCTCTGGGTTTCTTTACTAGGACAGGCAGTTCTGATTCCTTTTGTGTGCAAGAGATTTAGTGATACTTGGATCATCCAAACCTCACAGGCTAGTGTCAGTAGCGTAGTTTTCCACCTGAAGTTTGAGCTGACACAACTTCTTGTTTCAGATTGTCTCCTACCTACTTGATCTTCCAGAAAAAGATGAAGAGGAAGTAGAGCGAGCACAGATCAACAGCTTTGACAGTCTCTGGGGAGAGACAGGTACCTCACGGATGTTACTCTCAAGAATGTGTGGTGTTTGTGTGCACTCCCGTATCTCCAACCCTTATTTTTTTCCCTAGCATACATTTGGCAATCTTCTGTCTCAGGCTTTTGTATTGGAGACTAATTCAGCCAAACTAAACAGTCAAGCAATTTTCCTCTTTCAACCCTCTTTCCCTGTGGATTGATTCTCTATACTCTTTGCACCGGAGCCTTCTTTCAAACAAAACTTCTTCCCTCTCATTTCCAAATATTTTTAAAATATTGAAAGTTACCTTACAATGTGCCAAACCAGAGCAGAAAATAATTGTAGCCTTTCTCCTTTTTATGTGATCCTTGTAGTAGTTAGGGATAAGTATTTTTCCCATCAAAATAACTTTTTCCCCTTGCATTTGTTAACCAGGATGTTAAATTTTTACTCATACCTCTGATTTAACCAAATGTTACTGTGGCAGAGTGGTATCTGACACAATTAATCTAATAATACATTATGAGTAAAGTTGCTATCTGGATGCACAGTGAAGGCCCAGCCTCATGCAGTTCCTGTTGGTCTGTAGCAAAGCAGTTTGGTACTTAGGAGGCACACAGAAGCCTCTTTCTTGTGGCCTTTGTAGGACATGATTGTTGTCTTCCCTCCAAGTCTAAACTGCAGCATCTGGAGAAACATTAGTAACCTTCGATGTGTTTTTATGAAACCAGGGCAATGAAAACTGTAGAGTAACCACAGATATGTGTCATATTTTCCAGAAGTAGACCAATATTGAGATGGCCAATTTCGGGAGAATATTTCACTAAACAAGAAGGGTATGCGTTTGGGTTAGGATAAGAGTGTTATTAAAAATAAGAGATTCTTGAACCCATTTAAAATTTATAAAGACTTATTGTGGGGGCCGGGCGCGGTGGCTCAAGCCTGTAATCCCAGCACTTTGGGAGGCCGAGG